GTTCCCTGATTCAAACAGGCATCGTGCTGCTGCTAGGGCTCATCGCTTTCGCCGTAGGCTTCAGCTGAAGGCCCTCAACAACAACATCAACATCAATCGCGCCGCAGTAGCCGACCCTGGTGAGCTCCAGCCACTCAACATCAGTGAGCAGCAGAAAGAAGAACAGAACGATGTCTGGTTTGACGAAAATGCTAAAGACTCTGACTCCCCAGTTTAAAGACTTATGTTTTACCTCCCTCTCTTTCTTTTCTTTTTAAACACAAAAGGGGGAGATGTGGTGGTGCGTTTTTATTTATTTTATGTACGGTTTTATGATTTTGTATTTCCCCAGTGGTTTGTCCCTGTTTCCCCCCTATTTGCTATGTTGGTACATCCTTTTGTTCTGTTTTCCCGCCTGGCCCTCTTTTCCCGCCTTGCCAGCACCTGTCAATCCATCCTAAGAGTGCTGAGTCATTCCCCTATCCCCTCCCAGGTACCTTGTCCGTCACCCGGTGTTCCTTCCCCTCTGTCCAGAAACTTCTCCACAGGGCACCGAGTGATTGGACGAGGGCCTGGGACCACTCCCAGGTCCCCTTCCCATTGGACCAGGCGGAATCACCCCACCGCGGAGCCACTCCCTTCCCCATCTCCCATTGGCTTTCCCTCCCGGATTTCCACTCCCATTCCCCTCCCAAACTCCATAAATGTCTGTGTCAAACCCCACTCGGGGTTCCAGCTTGGGGGGGGGTTCCAGTTTGAGTGTTCCCGTTCACCTGTGTCTCTTCTTTGCGTTGGCCACGTTGGCCCTGGATTAAAGAAGACTTTATCCCAAGCTGGTTCCGGCTTTTCTTTGCCGCCAGAGGGTCGCTAGCGTGATTCAGGACCCACGGGGACACCTCTCAAACCCCGACAGGGTGCAGCGAGAGGTGCCTCATTGCCCGTCCTCACCCCAGGTGCCGAGCTAGCCGGGGTTGAGCGCAACATCAGAGGGCATTTTGGGGCTGAGGAGCGCGGCACCTTCTAGTGACGCCTTAAGTCTTAGCTCTCATTTTTTTCAAATTCTGTACTGCATTAGTATATAACTCTGAACTACACAGGTTCTCTTCACAATTAATTAGACAACACAATCCATTTCCAGCCTAAAAACCAAGGTCACCGTCTCCTCTTCAAGCCCAAGAAAGTATAAACAACAGCAAATTGAGGGAAGCAAACTAGAACGTTGGGACTTCATAATTGGAAAATTAATTACAATATGCCAATGGACCAAAAATTATAAAAGTGACTTGGTGTCCATCCTGGGTGTAGTCTCAGCCAGGCTCTTGTACTACCCAAGATGTATCTGCTGAAGGCCTTTTAATAAACACCTACTTTATTCCTTTAACACTGCCTAGCCTCTTTTCTAGGTAACCTCTCAAGGTATCACCAGTACCTGAAGGGAACCTCCAAAAAAGATGGAGACATAATTTTTACAGGGATATGCAGCGACAGAAATGGGGAAATGGCTTTAAACTGAGTAGGTTTAGATTAGACTTCAGGAAAAAAAATTTTACTGCAAGAGTGGTGAGGTACTGGAACAGGTTGTCCAGAGAAGTTGTTAATGCCCATCCCTGCGAGTGTTCAAAGCCAGGCTGGATGGGACTTTAAGCTACTTGGTCTAGTTAAAGGTGTCCCTGCCTATGGCAGGGAAGAGTGGAACTAGATCATCTTTAAGGTCTCTTTCAACGAAGCCATTCTATGATTCCATGTGGAAAGCTGTCATACAACAGCCTGAGCTGAACCAATTATGAGATCTGTGAAAATACTACTAGTTTTCATTAAGCAGTAATAAAATTCAGATTTTCCAGATGGTAAGTCTTGTAACATTACACTTACAGCACTGAGCAAGGAATTTCCTGCACACATAACAGGAGGCTTAATTGCACATGCCTCTTGTTTAGAATCTGTGGTGTGGTAACCCAGACTTCGATCACATTGCTACTTTGATTCACAAGAGCTACTGAAACCTGAACTTCTGAAGCAAGTTCTTATTAAAAGTCCTTCTACCATTTTTTAACTAGTGTTTTTCTCCTGATGTTCATCCAGGAACATAATCAGGATCATCCAGGATAAACATATCAGCCCATGCATTACCTTCAGGAGATTCAGGCTGAACAGGAAAAATTTGAAGTAATGGATACCAAATCAAACTTCATTTCTTCTGCTGTGTATTAAGAAAACACCCAGAAATAAGAGATATAGTCTTGAAAAGGTCATCAGGTTAAGTTAAAGGAATTCAAGAATTTTGAGTCCTTTCCCTAGCTGTGTCTCAGGCCTTGAATACCTTGAGATGTTTTTTTCATTTGAACATGATGGTAATAACTACCTAGCAGCTGCAAAAAGTATTTATGGTGCTTTATTCTTCAGTGCTTCATTCTTCAGCACTCTTAGGAACAATGAAGTTTGTCATAAGACAATGAAATACACATTATTCTTTCACATGGAGAAGACTATAAGAACTATGATGTCAGCGTGACCACTCTTCCTTCCTGTTCATGTCTACAAGTATTTAAGTCTGATACCTGGGCCTCTCTTATTTTTAACAATTTTTTGAAGTATCACTTAAGTTCTCTGCTTCTCTGAGCAGAAACCGAGAAGGCCCTACTTACTATCCACAGCATTTTCTCTATTTTACAGAAGTAACATAGGATTACTGACTACTAAAATCCTTTAGCCTTGTCTGCTATTGTTTTCAAACTATGCAAATGACTTTTAACATACACCTGGCATACCTCTCCACAAGGGAGTATTGTCTTGCTTGCAAGACAAAATTGTGACAACAAGGTCGCAAAGTGTGAAGGTGTATAAATCAATCCACATTTGAAAGTAGGGAGATGTTATCTATGGAACTTACTGAATAACAGCTCAGAATCGAATTATTGCCTGAAAACATAAGTTTCTAGTTAAAACATTTCCAGACTAAGTAATTAATGAGAAAATTATGTCTACAAATTCTTTAAGATCAAAATTTGGAACAACTGGATCCTGTATGTAGGGACTGTGAACAGAGGGGAAGGGAAAGTCTGTGATTCATTGTTTTTTGTATGTTTATAATTGACATGAGAAACTCTTCCATTCAATGTAACTCCTCACAGTGCTTGTAATACAAACCTATCTATGACAGAAATTTTATCTAGTCTTTACAAGTAAGTTCCTCATTCCTTTTAACTAGAATAAACAAAGCTGATGCTAGATCACCAGTTTCTACTGAAATATTTGTCTTCCTGAAGGCTGTTGGATATAAATTTTAAAAAAAGTTACTAGAGCTAGTCCAGTTCCACATATTTAGTGAATAAGCAGTTGCTTAACTAATATTAATATTAAAGCTCATTGTGAATTTTCCACAGGAAAACTATTTTCCTTATGTAAAGTCAAAATCAAATATTTCATTGTGAGTCTATCTGACTCATGTACCTTATAATGCACCAAAAGAAAACGTCCTTTGGACACAAAAAAAGTTAAGTATAATTTCCCAGGCCCTATACTGCATTAAGGAAATTATATGTCAGGCATCCATTTCAGCCAAGGCTTCTCCAAATACCATGTCCCACAATCCAATGTGAACTTCTCTCTCTTTGACCGCTACATGATTGAAAAATTTGAATTCATCATAGAAGGAACTGGAAAGCAGGGAAAAATCATACAACACAGTCTTTTCTTCCCTGATCAACTACTTGAATGCTGAAATGCCATCATACACTAACACCACAACAACAACAAAAAAATTACAAAAAAAA